TTCAGCAGTGTCGCCTGTAGAGGGTTCGGAGACCTCGGTTATTAATGTCCGAGCTGATGATCTTTCCGGTCATCCAGAACAGCATTATGGTCAGCCTAGGCCTGACGACTGAGTGAGGCATTTTTTCATGAGGTCTGTCGTTGAATGATGTAGAACGCAACTGAACCGTTGTTATGGTCTTTGCTTTAGAAGCTGCGGCACCCGCCTAGTGCCACAACAGTGTCGTATTAAATAAGTGTGAGACAATTTCTTATGCCTATCAGTTTGTAGCCATATGTTGTGGGCACCAATGTTCAAACACCTTAAATCTTTGAAACGTGATGACCAACTCTTGTAACCGTAGTACATACAGTGCTGGGCTATCGGTAGCCGAATAGTGTAGCACAAAAAAACTTTGTTACCGTTCTCGTAATTATTTGATGGAATTGTAATACCTATGTGGTTGCATTTAGCCGGTAATACATACAAATGGGTATTTCGTATAATAGTTCTATCTACACATTTCTATAATCAGAATGACTAATGGTAGATAGTCTTTGGATCAGTCAACATGAAATTCATCGTCAGAGACCGAACTGCCAGAGGTTAAGAGACCCTGGTAACTCCGTGATAACCGTAACCACTCAAATACCCTTTCAAGTACAATGAGATCAGGTACCCGGATTGTGCTATACAGCAATATGTTTGATATTCCGTGTTTTGTGCCTTCCAGCAAACGGAATTACACAGTATCATTGAGCGGTATTCAATTTTCGCACAATTAAATATTCGGTACATGTGTTGAATGCACTCCGATTACAGTGCCTTGCTGTGCTGTGAGGCTGCCATCTGAAAGAAAAAAGGTGATAAACTCATAACAGTAAATTACATGGAGAAGCGAGTATTGGACCGAGGCAAATTGTACTGCCGTATCATGCTCATCCTGCCTGTCTAATCGATGCCTGGGAATGAAGGCTAATATACTCAAGTTTTGTGAGCAGTGACGTTTACTTAGGTTTTTCATCTACCCAACTTTTTCATGCTCTTTATCTTCCCAGTTTCTCGTTAAGTGGACTGTAAAGCTACAACTAACTACCAAAATGGAAATATCAAATGGCAGTCGTATGTGAAAGCAAAACCCACTGGCTTGCCCGTCGTCACTCCTCAGGTGCACCAAACTGCTGAGACCTTGCTAATGATACCCCACGTTCATGAGGACATTCAGTAAGAAAGTTGCGTTACGGGGCAGGTTATTCAATAAAGAATACTTGATGACAAGTTCGGATGAATATCTGTTGACAAATGTTTGGAAGAGATTAAATAACAAAATTCTTTGCTGTCAATAAAATACGCACCCCAAAAATTTCAGAACCACTTAATTCATCGTTCAACTGAAAGAAGGATCTTGTGGCTTTGTTCAGTGTTGGCCCGTGCTTAGCTCCATTGCCATCGGCACTTTCACCATTTGAAGGGTTCACGTTGAACAGAACGGGTATCTTATTCCAATGAAAATTGTGGGCAAGGAGATCGGACATTCAAATTTACTGGAATATGCTTCTTTTTGCTGGTAAATTAACGGGAATCGCCGTTTTTAGTAGGCTGGCCCATAGTTCTACACTTTTTCCTTTTGCACCTATCACCATTACCAGGTAGTAATACCATTCCGGGCACGTGATGCCGAAGAATATGAAAACAAAGATCTGGTGATCTACGAGGAAGTGGCTTTGATTTCCGGATTTCAACGTCCCGTGATTTGTTTGGTCGGTGCCGATGGTGTGGGACGTCGGTCGATGCGGCGAATGCTGGTGCGATCCAATCCAGAACGCTACGGTGTGCCTGTACTGCGTAAGTTGTCATGGGAATAATCAATGTAATAGGTGCGGAGTCCAGTTATTGATGAAATATGTTAAATACACACACATAAATCGGAGAATAGGAGAAAACGTAAGAATCGGTTTTTGCTAATCACCAAAAACAAACTAGTCCACCAACTCACTGCATCGCGCAGTGAGTTCATTGTTATGTGAATCCAGAGGAGCAAAGAAGTTTTCTTAATTCAAGCGATTCTTTCACCACTTTCTTTTGATGTATTTCTATCGAGCGATCTGCATGTGAACTTACGATATTCCTGAAAACGGAAGTAAGTGTTTGAATGAGAGTGAAACTGATCGGAAAACCATTCGTGTGTATGAACAAGTTTGTTTTCGTAATTTTGTCTTCAGATATTTATAGTTGAAAATTTGAATATTCCCAAGACCACCACGAGTGCCTGATGCCTCTGAACAATCGAACGGGCTAATCCAAGCTTGATACTCTAAATTCCCATGATAACATTGAGAAAACCAGTCGAGGGGCGAAAGATAGTTCTTGGGTATTCCAAGTCATGCTCTTACATAGCATTATTAGATCTGGGGGACGGGGCGGGGGATGCTTACATAAGCACAGCTATCAGCTCGGTTCGAAGTCATTAATCGTAGGGTAGACAGTGTGTGCATTAAAACGGTTAACGTTGGTTAATGTGACGATTCTCCGGCTGGGTTAAGGGACATCATTTTCTGTCTTGATGTTCACATTAGACCAAGTGTTAAATCTTTTCCTCACAATCATTGAATGTTCTTTCGTCTCATTGTCCACTCTATCGCTCCTTTTTTGTCCCGTTGACATTCGTTTCGTTCTGGCGATGGATTTCTTACATATCCAAGCGAGTGCTTAGTTCTCCCAGTCTCTGACACGTAATGGACATGCAGACACGCACACCGCTCATCCGTATGAATTCAACCACCCTAGTTCCCTTGTGACCTCCATTGTCCCTTACTGTTGGTTAACCTATGTTCCTTCTGACCTTGATCTGTACCGATTCACCGATTATCATTTAGCGATTATTTAACCACTCACGCACATGTCCCCTGTTAATTTACATACACACAGGTATGCCGCACGCCAGTGGTTGTTTGATGAGAAGCCGGATTGTGTGCGCCCAACTCACTTTTGATTGGCTCATCCTTTGGGAGCTTCATTTCATTGCCGTACTGAACTTAATTTGTTTGATTCCGTATACTTCCATCACAGTCTCTCTCTTGAAACAAACAGCGAAGAGCCGTCCCCTACTGAAGAATCTTGATTGTAAGGTGTATTTCGACACAATCGGGCACTGTCATATTCCTCCTTGCATCGTTATTTGGCGGATTGAAGTTTTGTGTTCAGACTGAAAAGTTCTGTAGCCTCGGTGGGATTCGAACGCGCGTATGGAGGCTGCCTACGCTTTTATTGTATTGTATTGTATCCAAGCTTTAGCGAGTTATATACAAGCTTTCAGTTAAAAAGTAGACTAACGTTACGATTCTGGTAAAAACAAGTGAAAAAGTGGGATGTGAAACGTACAAAAATATGAGTTAATTTCTAAATATGCGAGTAAATGTAAATTCTTGAAGGTAAACTTAAGAAAACGAGCTTGTTTGCATACGGCCGGTTTTATGATTACTAGATGGGAGTATTTCCGGAAGCCGATTACTTTGCGCTCTGGAAAACAGCCGATGTACAAAACATTGACCATAGCTGTATAAAAGTGGCTTAGTTGCAAAACACTTCACATGATTCTTATTTCTATGACTTTTACCGGCTCCATCACACACACGCAAAGAACCCAAAATGTTCAACTTTTTCCCATCCTTTGTCTTCCTTCATGTAACAGATAAGTGTGGCATATAATTCCTTCGATGGCTAAAAGTATGATCTTGAGAAAGCATAGTCGCAGTAAAGCGTATTAGCTTCTTTACAGAGTTAACTGCTTAGTTGTCCATTTGAAACTTGCAATATTTTCTGTATGTCTCCTCCACTCGTCACTATACATCGCCAAATCTACCAAAAGCACCCTGGAAACTATTATGTTCAGTTAAAACGCCAAATCAATACCACAGTTTGATTTGAGAACATGATGAACTGTATGGTCTAGTAGTGTGTGGACAGCATTGGATTTGAACACAAAATTCTCTTTTCAAAATTATCCGGTATTAAATTATAAAACCCATAGACTCACAGACACGACACAAGCACATTATCGATTTGTCAACTTTTCAACTGATCAGACTAACTCACATAAAAGTGTTGTGAGATTTCTTTTACATGTCATCAGTTACTTCCTGCAAGCCATAAACAAAACTTCCCGGGTTCACTGAGGAAATTCTGTCTATTCACAGTATAATATAACCAATTCCTTAGTTTTGGGGGAATAATGAATATTTGCTATTTTAGCAAAAAGCCGCCATCGATTAAAACGCAGTCGGAAACCGTTTGAACCCAAGTGCAGCATAGACAAGATTCTGTTCGACGTCTGCAATCCCGAAGTCGGTGAATTGACAACTGTAACAGTACTGAGCAGGTCGAAAGTGCTTTGCAGCCTTCTAATTCACAGCTGTTCTTTTTAATTACAAACGTCTGTGTAAAGAACAGCAGCAATGGCAACGTTTATGATCCCGATAACGTTCTGTTCACTTGCGATAGCCCAGAATCAAAGGCCTGGGACTTGTAGTGGTAAAGTGCGATATCGACCCGCACACGCCTGGAGGTGATTACACCTGAAGTTAAATAGTGGTGTACGAGGAATCTAGTTCATACTGTTAGGATTCTTCTTTTACCTTTTTATTGTACTTTTTGCAGTGTTTCCTGGATTTATCACCGTCAATTCGTTTTCGGTTACAATTTCGAATTCCGCATTGTTAAGATGTTTTCTATACACACCCTGATGGTCGGTGTAACATTTTCCAATTTGTTCTCCATGACCTTGGAAATTGTCTAAAAGAAAGGGGAATGAAATACTTTTAACTGTCAATCACACTGCCTTATGGTAGTTTCCGATATTCGATAAAAATATGCGATGCTTTTCATGCGTACTTAAGCAGCCACTACTGCTCCACAGGTTTCAGAAAGCTGGCTTTTATCATGAGTACTCTCGCTGATTTATTAATACTTTACATTTCTACCACAATATCAACCATAAAAATATAATTGAGCTAAAATCGACCAGACCAATTGATACATCCTTGATGATACATGATTTCTAGTTATTCATCCTTAACCACTTTCGCTGATGTTAGATAAGATACATGCTGTGCGGTGTGCATGTGGAACGGGCTGCCCAATTCGGTCGCGAATACCACAGATGGCTACAGTATTGAATTACCAAGTACATAAATTTGGGTTCAAATACCAGGATTATTGATAAGGATAAGACAGCTGCTTTAAGGCTTTCCTGTGGTGTGTGTGTGACATACATTGACTCTGCTCCATGGCGCTACGTGAAAGATAGAATTAATTGATAGTTTTATAACCGTATGATTTGAATTGCAGTCGAACTAACCAATACATTAGCTGTTGCACTATATACATGTGATTCACCAAACAAACAGAAATCACTGTGGGATGCGCGACGATGAGCTCTGGAAGGCTGTTTGTTCCCAGTTAGAACTAGTCAGCAGTACATACTTCTTCCACTGTAAAAATCGTAAATCTAAAATTCACCCTTTCGGTACATAAAGCTTTTCTTGACTTGACTTGTGTGCCTGGTGGAACTCCACCCGTGAACGTCCACGTTGGGCGGTTGCGGGAACTCTTAGACCTGCGTTGCACGATTGAAAACCAGGAGGAAATGTCTACAACAAATTAGATTGTTGTTCTGTGGTTTAGTTGTAGAATTATCCCTAATAATTTTTATCTCAAATCAAATTCGTCTCACGTAAATTGAATTAAAAAAGAGAGAAACCTATTAACAAAACACAATCATGGTTCATGATAGCAACTGTCCGTGAAAACTAGTTATATTATGGGTTGAAGACTGGAAAATGGTAAATTTTTACTGTTGATTCAACAAATAACATTGTAAAGCGTCTTTATATCCATTACACGTTTTTACATGGTTCGTAATTCCATGGTAGCACGAAAGATTTGTTCTGAAAGTATATCTTAGGTTTCGATGGAGAACCGGTTGCTTCAACTGATAATTTAAGTTTCAGTTTCAGTTTGAACAACCATTAACCTTTGCACTTTTTTGCGCCGGTTCTGTTTGCTGTATTTTAGCTGCCCATTTGGATGAACAGTAGGAAAAAGACAAGAAGGTTGAAAGTGGAATCGGATAGGAAATTGGGAATTTCAGTGGACTAATGTTGCAAATAAATTGAGAAAATGCACGATACCACTGTTTACGACATTCAGTAGTAGTAGTAGTAGTAGTAATGCGATGATTACATTCTGTGCCCAAAACAAAACTCACAAGCATCTGTTCAAACTAGACTATCCTGATGACTCTTCCTCATAAATGCTCCATTGTTCCGCTTTTAGACATGGACATATTTGACAATGAAACGGGGAAAAATTGATGTTGGTAATTGATCGATTGAATTATATGTTGATTTGAACTGACCATCCTTCAGACTTCACATTCACGCACAACCCCCAGTTCCATTCAGTCAAACGTAAAATCGGAGTATATGTGCATTTCGTTACCAGTAACCGTGTTTCGATTTACGCAGTCTGACTGAGTGTCGGTTCACGCTAATAACCCCGTGTACTACACTTTGTGCTTCACTGTGTAAACATTGACCTTGACGTGTCTGACCGAACTGGTTACTTTTCACAATGTTTCCCCACTGCTGGATATACTGTTCAATTTCTAATGGCACACTTCAGATACAACCAAAGAACCGGACCCAGACGAAGAAGATGACACAGAATTCGTTATTGACACGCATGAGAATATGGAAAATGATGATCTGCACAACAGATACCTTGAAGTAAGCCAAAACCATCGGAATCGTGTGCGCCGTGATCACACGGTTTGTATNCATTTGGTCACGTGCTTACGTACCTGTGCGTGTGCATGTGTAGGCGTGCATAAAAGCTACCAATCCAATTCCGTCTACTGGTGAACCAGTGAATAATTTTCATGCAAATGACCGATTACTGCTTTTCGCCTTGTGGTACTTGTTCTGAGTTAACCTTGACACGATAACTGATACCGTCTTTTTCTGGCTAATGCAAGAAGTTTTACTGATTCCTTAAGAACGTCAG